TTCCCCCCCCCCCCCCCCTAAACTTTGACAATTATTCAAAGCTCTTGCTTAATCATTACCCAAGTTTCTATGTAAACTCTGAGAGACAAAACTCACCTGACTGAGGCCAGCATAGTCACATGGAACACTTCAGTAAACACTGGCAGGAGATGGCGTACATATTTGGGAGCAACCTCTGGGTCCCCTTTGATTTCAGTGGCCTCGCTCTTCTCACCCTCTGCTGCTTCCTCCTTCTTCACCTTCTCTGCAGTTTCCATAGGGGCAGGGGCTGAGGCTGAGGCCGGGGAAGAGGAGGCTGATGAGGTTGATGCACCCCCAGAGGCAGCCAGTGGGTGGTCTCTGTTCACAGGCACCATGTATTCACCTGAACAGGATTTTTTAATATGTTTAAGTAAACAGAAGCATCTCCACAAATTATATTTTAGAGGTGGGAACAAGGCAAGACAAACAGACAGAAACATATGATGGAGAGATAAGAAATAGGACCAACCACCTGCCCTGATGACAAAACAAAAGATTTTACTTCACATTTGCAATGGTCGAAGCCCAGCACTACATATTAATGTTAACAAAAACTTGACCCTTGCACCTTCTTGACAAGAACTTTATGGATAATTCACTTGTTCACAAGAGAAACATTCAGTTCTAATGATAGCATACTAATCATGTTGAGGAGTCATTTGTTAAAGGTCAATCTAATATAATCCATAATCTGATAATATCCATAGTCACAATGAGCAGACAAGAATATGAAACCACCTACCTGGTGACTGCAAGATAGCAATAACCTCACGGTGTCCTTCATCACCACGTTCCCTGGCTTTGTCAAGAGGTGTCTTCGCATCTTCATCTCTCAAGTCAGGATTAGCCCCATAGCGAAGCAGAGTCTGCAAATCAAAGATGTTTTTATAAGTACAATTAAAAGTATCCTGACTTGTGATATTCATCCATAATACCTCATAACACTTTCATTTCCAGAATTGTAAAATGAATGTGTATGTATTCACAACTGCAACATAAGGCCAAGAAACAGGCCGAGATTTTTTTTAAAACAATATAATTTTTAAAATGAATTGCACAGGGTATGGCATGCAGAAAGAGAATATAAAAACACCAGAAGTTAGTTTCAGTAAGAGTATTATGGCACTTGCAACACAATAAGGTCATACAAGTGCTGAAGATTAGAGGTGTTACAAGAGAGTAACAATCAAAGAAAAGAAGGAGGAGAGATAAAAGACGATAGATGTCTGATAGGAAACAAAGGGCAAACCACACAAGAGAACCCGTTAACCACACACAAAACACCAACCAGGCTGAGGCAGGAAAACTTATCCTGTTTAACTAAATTTCTGAGATGTATGGAACAGTAATTTTTTTTTATGACTGAGACAACAGACAAAATATGATACCCAAAGTTTAAAAATTCAACATACCTTCACAATCTGTGGTCGCCCAAAGCATGCAGCATAGTGCAGAGATGATGATCGTAAGCCTCTGTTTACATCAGCTCCTCGCTCACACAAAAACTCAACCTAATTGAAAAGATGAAAAGAATAGTTGAAATTCTAAGAAAAAGAAAACTCACTCACCTAATGCCCTTTGAGAAAATGAATTTTAATAGTAAAAGCATGACTTCAAACACATGACCAAAGCTGAAATAAAAATCTTTCATCATCAAAGTCCAATAAAAATGAACGCGAAAGGGACAGAATTATACTGAATCTATAGTACCTATTTCCTTTAAAACAATACAGTCAAAATGAAACAAAATTTCATTCTACCTTAATCCAAGACCACAAAACCCTCTGTACACTTATTTCACTGAACTTGTGACAAATCAAAACATATGAAACAAAAATATACCATTTCTTGAGTTCCAAAAGCAGATGCCCAGTTCAGCAAAGTCTGCCCGACATCATCCATGAAGTTTACTTCAAAGCCTGATTAAAATAAGGAGAACATTTTCAATTACGCAAATAATTCCGAGGGAAAAAAACTAGCAACAGATCAATAATTTGAAAAGTCAACAACACTCACTAAAAAAAGAAAAAACAAATAGGTTTAAGTTGAGACACAATCGTTGACCTTCGTAAAATAGCTTTTTATAAATTATCAAACAATAAAATGGGCGTGAAAGCAACATGCCTACAAATAAAAAAATGTTTATGAAGAAAAGCGATTTATTGTTAGACTGAATTTTAATGCTCTTGTACCAGAAAAAAGAAAGTTGCTTCCAGCAATATTTTTTTCATACCAGAAAAAATTAAAATTAAACAACAGAATCAATCAAATAACCATTATCATATGAACTTCAAAAGAAAACTGACTGCCCTTGTTCAACTCAACAAACCACCATCATCTGGTGATCTTCTTACCATTGTCAACAGCGTCGATCAAGGCGTCTGTGTCCTTACTGCGGATACAGTCAATCAGTTGTCTGTGTGATCTGTCACTAGAACTGTCTGTTCGTCGTAGCCCGTGTGGGCGGCTCGTAATTGTGGTCACGCCAGACTTGGGAAGAGCCTGTCTACCTTCAAACAGCAACACCAGGAGCAGATCCATGAACCGCATGGTGTCCAAACAGCAACTGTACGGAAACAGGAGAAAACAAAAAGGATGAAAGATTTGACCAAAAACCTTTGGATATTAGAATTAGAGGAAACAGCTGGATACACAAAAATAATGTAAAACTTTTCTCAAACCCACAGCAGCACTGATGTTACAATGTAAGGATAGTTAAATGTGAGGCAGTGTGGTGAAAAGAGGCGCTCGTCAAAATAACCAAATCGGAGAAACGCATTTTTCTACTGGTTCGGACGATTTTATTTAATTTTTACTTTTTGGCTTAACCTATTTCATATCCATATAAAAAGACATTGCCATGTGAATTTTACTGAAAAACATTGATTAAAGGCACATAATATGTCATTCTTCATTTTTCAAAGACTCTTTGACAATTTGAGTTACCAAACTTAGGTGGCCATTTTCTCGCTAACTTCACCACTGAAACGAAGGGACAATACTTTCTTCAATCGCAAATATATTGAGTTCTATCTAAGAAAAATGGATATTTATTTCATTGGAAGTGAGGCAAATAAATCAGCTTTTAGACCATAGCAATAACTCCACATGCCCAAAAATTGACGAGCGCCCGATTCCACCACGTCGTGACACAAATAAAAGTGTTCCCCTAATCACAAACAACCCTCTGTGTGTCTTTGTTTGCGTGCGCGCGCATGTGTGTGTGTGTGTGTGCATGTGTGTGCGTGCGTGCGAGTTATCATTATTTTTTTTAAATCCTGAAGCATCGCGTCAAGCACTCCTAGTCCAAGTGTCTATACCCCCACCCCTACCAATAAGTCCCGTAATACATGAACTTAAGTTGACCCCGTTAACGGACGGTCCCTGACACACAGAACTCACACAGCGATAAAATGTCACGTGACGCGAATGCGCTATTGAAACAATTTTACTAACGGGTCCGACTAACTACGCATTCACAAAAAACACTCCGATGAGCGACAGTCGTTCTACTTCTAGGATAACGACGGCGGCCGACCGACCAAATGTACCAACAAATCTCTTATCCCTCAAGTGTTTAAACTAAAGCTACGACAACGGCCGTATGTTAGTCTTGTCAGCGCAGTTACATGTAGTTGTGTAAGGGTTAGAAAGACTGTCGCTCGTCCGAGTGTTTGATGTGAACGCGCAGTTACCAGACCTCGGACAAGGCTTGTTTTGAAAGTAACAGCGGAACTACGAATATAATCGATTATTAAATGTCCCAAATTGTAACAGTTACCAGGCTATCATCAGAGAATTCTGGGAGCGGGACAAGATCACACACAACTGGGGGGCGAGTCAACTACTAAAAGCGGCATCGCTATTTCAAGAGATAGTGCTCCGAGTTCCTACTGACAAAAAGTTCGACGGGTGCTTCCCGTGATAAGAGAGAAGGCAGAGTAAGTTTTTAGAAAGATCCAGCACAACAGCAGACTGGGACAAAAAATCGGGATACACACGATCGAAATCGGGAAAATCGGGAGGATTGAGATTTGGGGCAAAAAACCGGGATATCCCGACTAAATCGGGATGAGTGGCAGGTCTGCAACAAGCAAGACCAAGCACTTACCGCTCATCCCCTCTTAGCCCGCTCTCAATAGCCTCGGGGAGACTGGCCCTCAGCAGGTCGTGTGTGATGCCAGGCGAGCCGCGACACAGAGTGGACAGCAGACTGATCACCGTGGACACGCTGGAGCTGCTCTTGCCGTCTGCGCCCACAGTGCTCTTGCCTGGGGTGGAGGTCGTGGACACATTGTGAGCCCCATCTCCGACCTTCTGGAGCCTCGACAGCAGGTCCTGTATCAGGCCGTGTCTGGCCAGGGGCGCTGGGTCTAAGGACCGTCTCGTGTAGCGGTCGGCAAGTGAAGCAAAGCAACGCAATGCACCATCTGCCACCTGAGTTCGATCAAAGTGAAACAAGCTCAGAACAAAATCAGAATAAGCCCTGACTATAAAGAACATACATTTTGTTGGGGGGGGGGGGGTGGTGTGTTCAACATCCATATAATCTTAAAATCATCAAGCATTCAATTTTTTTGAAATTACAAACTATCAGGTGATTTATTTTTTATCACTACCATACTAATATTTTTCTATAATTCACAAATCTATTTCAAGAAACAGCTCCTATCAAAATCCAGAACATTCATCCAAAGAATTGCACAACTATAAAATTATGATTCGTAACTTCAAAAAACTTCCACAACAACAATAAATAATCAAAATAGGACCTGCACACAACAGAGGCTTCATATTTCACAATACAACTGCACACAAAAAATGAGTCTGTCATCATATCACTTGTCATCTGTGACTGATTCTAATCAAACTATTACATCAGGGAGAAAGTATTTAGATATGTACAGATAACAAAAAAGAAAAGAAAAACAAAACCAAAAAACAACTTACGAAGGAATCATCATGGTCGAGCAATGTGGAGAGAGATTCTATGCAAGTTTCTAAAGCAGCATCCTGTGGCTCCATCTTGCCACAAAGTCTGGACACAACTGTCATGGATGAGTGCAGGGTATCCTTGTGTACCTGGACAAAGACATTTTTTGGTCAATACGGCCAAAACCTTTCCCTATACAAGTTTCTTAATAAGAGATAGTTTGTCTTAACCTGTAACTCATATTTAATTGAACATCAGAAAAAAAAAACTGCATCACACAAGACTTAGAAATGCAAAATACTTTTGGCTATATTTTTAAACACCTTAGCAGGACTGTGCCCACCATTTCAGAACTTCACGGTGACTGTAAAGATGGTTCCAGTAGGGAACGGGATAGAGGGTGCCCACGCCCCTCATGACTCATCGGAAAAGAGGAAGATAGGACTAACGATAACATTACTAAAATGCAATCCCACATCATCACTCATCACCACCATTTTATCTAAAATCATCAGCGCTCTTAGATCAACGACTTACATCTATAATCCTGGAATCTCTATCTGCTATTACAGTTACTTGTTATACTAAGTATGCACGTTATACACTATTGGACACTATCATACGCACTTTTTTCAAACAAATCAGATGGCGTTTATCTCATATAAATGGGCACGGGATTTTTAAAAAAGAGAGAAAAAAATTATAATTTTTAAAAAGGCTATATTTTTAAAAGAAGATTAAATATAACTTGCCTTTGAAAAATAGTAGCATTTATACAGCCCATATCCACGCTGTACAGCTTGTTCTATGCACTTACGACTATTATTACCCCTGCAGACCTACGACTATTATTACCCCAGCAGACCCTACAACACTCAGAAACATTCTCTGCTTCCCAGGAAGCATACATTGCCAGCTGCCGATTAAGCACCCCAACACTAACATACTGACAAGATCTTTCTGCTGTCTATAGCCGGATACCCAATCCCACCTGAGTGAAGTGAGGAAAAACTCATGCAAACTGCCTTTCTCAAGGAGACGCCAGGCCCCGGACGGGATTCAAAGTCAGAACCTCATAGTTCAGTCTGAGAGCCTAACCACTAGACCACAGACACCACAACTCTGGCTTCTAATTTAAAATTTATCCCATCTGTTATCATGAAAACCATCTTAAAGAATCATATTCACTTTAGCCTGTCCCAAAGAAGTACAACCACTGTAAACATTTATTACCTGTGAGCCATGTTCTCGTATGAAGGTGAGAACACAGTTGAGACCTCCAGCTTCAAAAACAGCTCCAGATTCCCTTGTGCAAATCAGCTCAAGAACCTGTTTCCATGTATAAAAAAAATTGTAGCTCGAGATGAGCTTGCAGCACCACAGCAACAATGTGACTAATCATTCAAATCAAAATTATTGCATCTTTATCCTATTACTACTTTAAACTCACTGAAGACCACTGTTTTTCAAAAACAATAAATATTACCCCATAAAAAACTATCAAAGCAATTCCTTTTTTTAAAGTTCATGATGCAAAATATTTCATAAAGGAGGCGAGAGGCTAGTTTAACTACAGCATATATATGCCCAATTACCCCTGCAAAAAGGAATTTTGGCAAAGAAACTGAGGAGCTTAGAAAAGACAGGCTCATTCCCCAAATGAACAAATTACCTTTATGCACTGTTCAGCAAGATCTTTGCTTGTGCGAGAAGACATCTCTGCAACAACCAGACGGTTGCACAGGGCCTTTATGGCACCCTCAACAGCCACAATTCTCCTGGTGCACTCAGCCGAGACATCCAGGTAGTAGGTTATAGCACGAGCTGTCACTTCTAGGACATTATCTGGAGCACATTCATCGAGGAAAATTCGGCACAAAGCAGGCAGAAACGTCCGAGGAGGACAACTGGGAAGGATGAAAAGAAGAGAAAACATAATTAGTCTTAAGCATAACAATATAAAAAACTTTTTAGCTGAAAAAACAACAAAAAGAAACGATCACACCCCCTCCATCTACTGGAAAATGACATATCTTGTGCTTTTTATAAATGTTTTCCAGTAAATTTCACATGGGAATGTGTTTTTATCTATATATATAAAAGCGGACTTGGGAGGCTTTGTGCACAAACTCCTCCCTTATTATCTAACCGACATCTTTGAAACTTTGCAGGCATCCACAGCATCCATGAGGCTAGGACCTAACTTTAAAGAATCCACACAAACTGCTTTCCCCGATTTTTCCAAAATGCTTTGTTTCGTCCACACAGAATTTTGGGAAAGTCCAAGACGCCATTGTAAACAAGTGAGGTTTCCGTTCACTATCCGTGCGCACTGTTTCCACACCTTTGAAATTTTGGAGTGTACGTAAAACCACGAAAGCGGAATAGAGAATCAATCTATACATCTATTATATATTTGGCAACTTGGAAACATGTGTGTCACTTTTCTCTCAAGATTTATTGCTCCATTCCAGTAGAGTGTAAATGTAGTAGGCCAATGACTTTCAGTTGATGTTAATGCACCGATCATTCCTTTCATCGAAAGGGGGCCAGCTAGTATGACATAACAGAGGTTAAGCCAAAAAATAAACATCTGACAAGAATGTCCAAATTGGCGGGAAAATGTGTTTCTCCGATTTCATTATTTTGACGAGCGCCTGATTTCACCTCGTTGCCACACATATGATTAAAGGTTTTATTAAACTACAAGTACACAACATAGCCTGGAAAGCTACTAGAATCTCTTCCCACCCTCCCCCTTGGTGAATTTTGAGTGGAAGTTTAGAGAGAGCCTACAGAATTCCAAAGCACACCCTGTTGTAATGCCGCAGCCACATGACGGGATCCCATCAGCTCCTGGTACTGGGGGCAGGATCTTGGTTTGCTCTGCTACTCAGCATTGCACAGTATACTTAAGTAGAGGAGGATACTCACTTTTAAAAACCAGGATTTTGATTGGGTTTTAGATTTGGGAACTCCTACTGAATTTGGTACTGACACTGAGATTTACTGCTACAGTCATTTCCAATAAATCTGTCCACCACTACTGCATTCCCAGATAATTTTCCAGAGCTGCAAGTACAAGGAATACAGGGAAAAAAGTTATTGAAAGCTGGAAAAAAAACCCACCTATTCAACCTATCAGTCCAATAGTGCACGTCAAGAGTCTAGATTTGATGATGATAGAATTTATTTCCTTTATAGCTTCTTATTCTTTTAAAATTTGGCTATCCATGTGCTTATAATTGCCCAAAACTGAGCATAAATAGAGAAAACCAAATATAATTACCCCAATTCTAAGTGAGAAAAACCCAGCAAAGTCAATGTGCAGAGCTCCCAAAAATATTAATATATGTTGAACTTTTTAAAAAAAAGAAAGAAAGCACTAATCAAAATATAGACAATTAATGACCAGCAGAGATGGAAAACTATCAACAGGCTTACCATTATATGGAGAGACAGATGACACACATTGACCCTAAGACAAATCTGGGCACAGTACTGAGTACAGAGTGCCACAGAATTCTGAAACCTGAGTAGCTATCAGTTAAGTTGGCGATAGTAGGGTGGCCCAAATTGTAGTCCATTATGCACACACATGACCCTTGAAACAAGATGCTTAAGACTTCTATTTTCATACAGTCGAACCTGCCCTGACGGCCACCTCTATAATAAGACGGCCACTTTCCATTTCCCCCCTTGCGTTTTCTCTATGTGTACAACGGATACCTGTCCAAAGCGGCCGCAGCCACCATATTTTAACACACAACCCCTATCATACTAAGCGATAGCACCTGTCTTAGACGGCCACCTTAGTGACTCCGTTACGTTTTGTCATAAATTGTGCATTGGCCCCTGGCGTTGTGGGCGAGCCGTCATAATCCAATCACTTGTCGTTGTTGTCAGGTAGTCCCTCCAACCGATCATGTCGCATAGGCCATTCCCACTGTTGACCAATAGGTATTTTCAGCTGCTGGTGAGGTAAGCGTGTGATCCCTCATAACCCATAAGCCCCGCCCAGAACTCATACACAAATCTTAAGTGAGATAAGTGGTCACTGTTTACCCAGTCTGTAACAAAGTAACAATGGATGTCAACATGAAGTTGCGACAGAAGAGTCGCTCGTTCTCCGAGTGGTGGCGACCCACGTGTTTGTTTTAACATGGCACTCGGTCTTCCTCGTTTGATACATTGTGATTTATTGTTACCCTTGCACAAAATCAGCAACAAAATAAAAATAACAAACAAAATACAAACTAACAACAACATCAACAATGCGGCTACTTAAGATTGGGACTTCAGATGGGAATGGTTTCTTTTCTTCATCTTGATCAGTCTTGCCTAAGATGGCCACCTGTCTTATACGGCCACTTTTCTCCTTGACAATGGGTGGCTGTCTTACACAGGTTTGACTATCATATAAAAGCGAGCACATGATATTTGCCACTTTCATTCCTTCATTTTGTTCATTTAAATGCAGTCTGCCAGGAAACATGGTCACAGAACCTGTGCTTTCTTCGTTGAGAAAAAAGATGAATTCAATCTACACTTTTTGATTTCAACAATACAACTTTCCATCTCTTCAGCAATTCAACAGTTATCATGCATGTCTGCTTCTCTGACTTACTATGGGTGACAACCTCTTTTACAACATATATATACAGGTTGTTTTTTTTCTTTTCTAAATTCTTATTAGGGTAGGACTGTTTAGAAGGGAAGAATTCCACACCGAGCGACCATTATAATGAAATAGATAGAACAGAGGGTTAGGGTTAGAGGTCAGGGTTGAGGCTAGAGTTAGGGCGGTAGGGTTTGGGCTTGGGTTAGGGGTATGGTCAGGGTTAGGAGTATGGTCAGTGTTAGGAGTATGGTCAGGGTTAGGGTTTGGTTTTCTTTATTGTGTTTGTTGGGGTGGTCGCTCGTAACAGAAGTCCTTCCGTTTTGAAAAAGTAACAAAAAATATATGAGGAGTTCTCAAGCATGCATCAGACACCTCCCATTCTGTTCCCTTACACATCACTTTTTGTTTGTCTCAGAGCTTCTCCTCCTGACACTTTTTCATTATCTAATAAAATTGACACCCACCACCCCCTTTCTCTCTCAAGTTCCTCTCGTCATCCAGCCCTTTTAATTATAATTACAAGCATTTTCTCCTTCTCCCTGATTTTCTTTCCCACACTACAATCTTTCCACTTCAGCTACAACAGTATACAAAATGTTTTATTAGATTAAATTAACTGACTGACTTTATGAAATATAAGATTTTAAAAGTCATTATAATTTTTTTAAGTAAGACAAGTTACACTGCATAGAAAATACTAGGCCAGTCACAACACCTACACATATGACATTGAAATGCAAACATAGTTTATCATAGATGATAGGCTGCCAACAGCTTGCTTTCTGAAAACAATTGTCACTATTCCCGGGCATAAATTCATTTTATTTTTCAACCCTGCCTCAGCGTGTGAAATCAAGTGACTGTGACTCAGTATTACTACTATTAGCCTTGCTATTTTGGCAAAGCAGAATTTGTTTGAACTTCGTTTCCCAAAACCTCTTTAAAAGTACTCTTAGAGATTTAGCCATGACATGTACTTGATTCTAATTTAACTAGAGCCGGGTCGGCTTATCCGGCCACCCCATTCGAACTCCTTGTTTGGTACACAGTGGCTTCCGTGGGCATGTCTCCATACCTCCCGTATAAGAAAATATTTTGTTTTATTGCATTTGCAATCGTTTTTAAGTTCTTCCAGTGACCTTTCCGCCTTGGCTTCATTTTGGGGTCAATTTTGTTCTTCAGTAAGAGAAAACGTAATCCATTCCATCTGGTTGGCTGAGCTTCTCTGCTTCATCCAATCAAAGTTAAGGTCTGTTTTTAGCTATAACAGACTTCATACATGTGTCTATTTTCGTTTTCCCTTAACTTACAGCTATTCTACAGTTGATTATAACTGGTGGAGGGGAGGCCGAATCTGCCGAAAAAAATCTGATGTTTCGACGGATCCGGCATAGAACAAAAATATCAAACTCATATCAATATCATATGCAAAAAATTAATTAAATTACGGTGCTCCTAGCCTGTTATAAGTTGGCATGCTTCAGGGCCTACTAATCTGTTCTTTTATTCATCATTTACATTAAGTAGCTTTTTTGGGTTGCTCTTTGGAACCATTCTTTTTACATTTAATTCAGCTGTCAGCCTAAAAACTTTTTTGGGGTTGCTCTTTGGAACTGTTCTTTTTACATTTAATTCAGCTGTTAGTGTTTCTATTTGCAAATAAATGTTTATTATAAGTTTAAAAGTAATTGGTTAGTTACCATTCTGTTACTGTGGTGATGAGATTTTACCACATTTGTCAAAACTGGCCGGACCTGCCGATGGGGGACCCGTGACCAGCTGGCACCGTCTCAGACAGCTGGGTGGCCCGTCAACACATGAAGGGATTATTGAGTCGAAATACCTCGTAACAAAACCTGATCCAACTTTTTGATTAGATATAATGTTGACCCGGATGTTAGAGAACACAAACATAGCAGGAGGCGAAGCAAAATCAAAAGGAATAGGCGGACAAGTCTATAAGCTTAGGGGGCCGTTCTAGATCTAATTTTTATGCTAATGATGAAATAAAAACAAAGGAAGTAGCTATCCTCACCCGGGGTGAGAATAAAAATACGATCGACCTCTCACCCCCGGTGAGACTTGCCACCGTTGGCTATTCTCACCCGGTGTGAAACAAGACCTGTTTTTCCTAATTTCGGAATACTTTCTATCAGTGTGGATGATCAAATGGATAAAAGCAAAGAAAAAATTATGTTATAGCACAAAAGTAAGCTAATTTGATCGTCTACAAAGATGCTTTGGCTATTTCACTTTTCGAATCGAGCCGAACTACGCGGGTCGCCATTTTGTTTTGCCCGGAAGTTCTCGCAAGATCCACTCCTCCCTTCTTCTCTCTCTCTTTCTGAATACTGTCTATCACTGTGGACGATAAAATTGACCAAAACAAAGTTTAAAAATTATGTTAAAACACAAAAGTAAATTAATTTGGCTGTCTACAAAAATGCTACGGCTATTTAACTTTTTGAATCGAGCCGAACTACGCGGGTCGCCATTTTGTTTTGCCCGGAAGTTCTCACGTTACTCCTCTCTTTCTCTCTTTCTCTCCACTGCGCACAGACAAAATTGTACACTTTTAGACTAACAGTAGTAATGGAACGTTTGTTCACGGCACAGAATTCTACAATTTTTCTGTTATCACAGTGTAGAATTCTGTGGTTCAGGGTTAACGCAAAATTGGTTGGCCTAGATCTAGGCTATAACGGTGAACGCACACCGGGTGAGAATAGCCAAAAGACTCGCCTGCGCTATTTTCACCCGGGGCAAGAATAGAGGTGGCCAAAAAACACACAAAAGAGTACAATTCTTGACCCATCCCTGAGTTTGAATAAAAAAAACTTTCAAGTATACTGTAAACTGATTAACTGTAAGTAGATCTAGATATCTAGATCTAGATTTAGTGTAAGTTAACAGGAAGTATATTCTCAAAATGGGACAGTTCATCATCAAATCAAGATGAGTTGAAAAGCGAATGAGCCAACCAAAATTCTTCTAGTTCGGGAGTCTAAAAGATTCTAGGCAATTTACTAAAAATAAAATGAATTTAAATTACGCAGTGTGGCTATTTTTACGGCAGGCCGTAAAGATAGCCTCCCGCGCTATTTTTACAGCGAGCCGTAAAGATAGCCTCCCGGGCTATTTTTACGGCGGTCACAAACTGATGACGTAGAACACGTTTTTCAGTCTTATAAATTCCGTCTTGGCTTGTAGGCCTAGTAGGCTACTACCTTATTTGTTATTTTATACATGTAATACCTTTTACTAAATGACTAAACTATTGTAACATACTTTGAGCTGGTTAAAACCGAGAGTAAGGCACTATAATTAAATGTCCTCTATTATTAGTATTATCATAATTATAGTCTTTATTCTGGACTTAAACAATTCAATGTTTTTATGTTCTTTACTTGGACCTCTGCTTGGACCTTGTTTTTGTAGGATTCTTTCAAATAATAAAATAGATCGCATTTTTTAAGTTTTTGTGTTTTGTTTTCTGATGTGCTCATATTATTACTGTCCATTTTTACGGGGAACAGCTCACCCCAAGGGTGATTCTTTTTCCGATTCATATTTTAGAGAAAAAAATTATACGGGCATAAGAAATAATGAAGAAAGTAAATTTTGATAAGTCCGAAAATATGAAAGTTGCCATGGAATGGAAACAGCACCAACATGCAAAACAAACAATAATTTTTAAAAAACAAAGGCTTCTTACTCTCTAACAAAATTGCATGAAAATTGGTGGAATGGTAGAGATACAGATACTATGGTTAATCGTACTGAGCAAAATTTTGATATTTGAATATAAAAAAAAATATATATGTGTGTTCCTGTACCCTGAAATTGCATCACAATAATTAATAAATTAATCATTGTGAACAAAAATAAAAATATTTTACGCCTCTATAAAAAATCTGCTCAGTGCAAAGGAAGGAGGAACATTTTAAAGGCATTCCCAAGGCGAAAAGAGTTAACTCCAAAATGGCCACTCTTCTTGTGGGTGTGGTACATGTAGTGATGTCGGTGAATGAGATGATGATGCTGGCAGTGGCAGTGATGATGGTAATAATAATGACGAGGAGGTGGTGATGATGGTGATGATAAAGAGAGGGTGAATGATTATTGTGGGGAGAAGAAGGAAGAGGTGGTAGTGGAGGAAGGGAGAAGGAAGATGAAGAAGAGAATAGAATGATGGTGAAGAGGAAGAAATGGAAAACCTATGGGGCAGTTCAAATACAATCTTACACTTTTGGGGACTTTTCTAAAACACAAAACACAAATACCACTTTTCTCACATTTGCCTCCAACCCCCACCCACACCAATTTAATATTAGTACTTTTTCCGACCTTCAACTTCCATTATTATTTCAAAGATACCGGCCTGTACTATACGTGGCTTTTTTTAACCAGCTTTTAAAAAAAAATCATTTCAGTTAATACAATTTAATCAAACCATATGAACTAGAAAGAACGCATATGTGGACGACATTGAGACTCTTGTCAATGCAATAGGTACGTGCCTTAAATAAAAGACATCAAGACATTAAAAGATCAACAAAACAGTTGCAAAGTTACAAAGAAACATTAAGAAATTAGATATCCACTTACAGAATTTTCATCATAATTTCTAAATTATTTGTAACCCCCCCCCCCCTCTTAACCCCCCCCCCCCCCAAAAAAAAAAAGCAACGGGGATCTGCAGTGATCATGCAGATCTGGGTCTTGTTACTGGCATTTATCCACTTTTTCTTTTACCTTTTCTTCCCAGTCATGAGCAAAACGTTCATCTCACAGAAGTGTCATATTTGGTTAACCTCCCCACCCAATCTTACACTTTTCTTACAGAAGCCAAAGACACCCTTTCCTCTCTGAGGTGTAAGTTTATATTTTGAACGGCCCCTATAGGCCTAGATCTAATACACTGAGGCATGTCGCGTACATGAGAGGCGGAGTAGGGTCGCTTTTCGAGGATCGCCGTAAAAATAGCCTGGGACTCACTGGGAGGCTATCTTTACCGCACGCCGTAAAAATAGCATGTGGGAGGCTATCTTTACGGCTCGCCATAAAAATAGCCACTGCGTTTAAATTAACTTAGTTTAGTCTTAACCCTGGAAGCGCGCAGGCCCTATATAAAGGGCCCTATATATAAGGCTGACCTACTTCGACCGGGAAGCGCACAGGCCCTATATAAAGGGCATAGACGCTGACCCTTTTCAATGGAAAATTCCAGTGTTCCTTATATGGAAAATGACGTAGTCAATTACAGGCCAAAGTTATAAATAGTGACCAATGACTTTGCAAGTTCTCTCGACCTCGTAAAGCGTCTCTTGGCCGAGATATCGATCGATAAAGTGACACGGTCCCGCTGAGCGACTACACGCTATGTGTTATCACTTGTTTCGCCGTGCTGATGTATTAATTGTTGAGTTTATCGCGTTCTCGGCTTTGTTTGTATTTATTTGATCGCTGATCATTTTTAAATGGCTCATTCTATCAGCTTAAAGAAAATATATGCTTTTATATGCTTTTTATCATCCGTTGAGCCGTAAATGGTCATTTTTCAGTAGCAGGTATACATTTCGGGTATTTCAGCTGTTTCCCCCCCGCCAAACCCCCATGTTTACAACTGATCGGCCGTGGCGGCGGGGCATTTTTGGCGGGTTACTTCCGGTGAAACGCTGAGCGCTTCTAGGGTTAAGACATGATCTTGATTTGAAATATTCTCATAAAATGAAAGGCCACCTCTATTCTCACCCGGGATGAGAATAGTGCAGGCGAGTCTTTTGGCTATTCTCACCCGGTGCGCGTTCACCGTTATAGCCTAGATCTAGGCCAACAAATTTTGCATCCACCCTAAACCACAGAATTCTACACTGTGATAACAGAAAAATTTTAGAATTCTGTGCCGTGAACAAACGTTCCATTACAACTGTAGCCTACTAAAAGCGTACAATTTTTGTCTGTGGGCAGTGGAGAGAGAGAAAGAGAGAGAGAGGAGTAGCGCGAGAACTTCCGGTCAAAACAAAATGGTGACCCGCGTAGTTCGGCTCGATTCGAAAAGTTAAATAGCCGTAGCATCTTTTTTGTAGACAACCAAATTAATTTACTTTTGTGGTTTAACATCATTTTTTAACTTTGTTTTGGTCAATTTGATCGTCCACACCGATAGACAGTATTCAGAAAGAGACAGAGAGAGAGAGAGGGGGGAGGAGTAGATCTTGCGAGAACTTCCGGGCAAAACAAAATGGCGACCCGCGTAGTTCGGCTCGATTCGAAAAGTGAAATAGCCATAGCATCTTTGAAGACGATCAAATTAGCTTACTTTTGTGCTATAACGTAATTTTTTCTTGGCTTTTATCAATTTGATCATCCACACTGATAGACAGTTTTCCAAAATGAGGAAAAGCAGGTCTTGTTTCGCACCAGGTGAGAATAGCTTACGCTGGCAAGTCTCACCCGGGGTGAGAGGTAGATCGTTTTTCTATTCTCACCCCGGATGAGAATAGCCACTTCCAAAATGAAAACAAAACAACACAAGTTAAATGAACAGTTCAAGTTCAACAAGTAGAATAATAGTAAAGAAGCCACTAGATATCTAGATCTAGATCTAGATCTAGACCTAGATTCTATATTTAAAAATGTTTACCTCTCAAAACATCTGTCAACATTGTCCGACATCAATAGCAGCATACAAAGCTGCTCCAAGGCAATGAGCTGCATGTCTCTCTCTTCTCCTTGTCCCATTTGAAGCCACTCTAAGAGTGTCTCTGGATCAACGTCTGCCATCTTTAGAATTTGTGCCTCGAGTCTTGGGTCAACTCTTGCTAATTGTGGCAAATGAATTTCATCAAAAAAAGATGATTCTGGAAAAATGATTCATCCAAAAGCAATACACTGTGAATAGACCAGGCTAGGCATCCAGCGCACGTACGTTATCCGTTATTGCCGTTTAAAAAAAGTCCAAAAGACAATGCTTCGTCGACTTCAGATGGTCCAACACGAAAGTTCACCAATAACAACAGCCAATAGAGTAAGCCCTACCTCTCGAGTTCAGCACCTGAAAGAGAAGTAGGCTGAACAACAAAGAGAATGTTATTATTCCAGGTTTCGTCTTTTTATCTTTTTACACCAACAGTTGCTCCACAAAATTTTGTCTAACTGTCCATCAGTGGAGTCTGCCGCCTCCCCAACAACTGCGTTATCCTTTGGACTCACATCGTAGTTTGATATAATTCAATGTCAATGTTTTGTGGTCTGATAGGCACTCATTACTACGTTTCTGTTTGTCATTCTTTTCCCAGCTGCTAGGCCTCGTTTTCGGAAAGACGCTCACATCCGGTGCAAAGGGACAGAACAATTGAGCACAATTGAGCCTAGGGGAGACCATTCTGATATTTTTAATTTATCCACTCACTACTCACTACACTACTCACACTCACACAGGCTCACAGATTATGTGCACAAAATTTCCTTACTAGATCTACCTGTGGCTGGGGGGTAGCAAAATAATTATAACAAACAAAATTGAACGATTAAATAGATTAAGATTGTATCTCTGCAATCCTAATCACACTTTCTGGCGGTTCCCAAACCCATGAACACCCTTCGTTTATACTTTTGTTTTAGTATTATATGTTTTACGGCACTTCAATCCAAATAGGTCATACATGTATTATAATAGGTGCCCAATTTTAGAGATGTGATACGAGAGAGTAACAAACAAGCAAACAAACAAAAAGGAGGGAAAGACAAAGACGATAGATGTTTCACTGGAAAGAAAGAGCAAACCACAAAAGAGCACCAGCCAACTACATGTATCAACCAAATGTCTTAGTCACCATGAGCAGGCCTACACGAAACTCAAGTAGTAGTCTTATTATTGCCATTGACAACAATTCCACCGTTCGCTTAGAGTTTGCGGCATTGGTGTATTCACATGCACAACATAATTGGAAGTTCAACGTGTGTGGGATCTGGGAAGAAAGTTCCTGTCTTCAATGGACGAAGACTACATTCAGTTTGGGGGGGGGG